AAAAATGGATAGGTTCATTCAGTTATGTTGTATTATTACTCACCACTTTAACCCAAAGTGTATTATCATCATCATTCTCAACACTTGACACGTATCCAATGGTTCTATAAATACAAAGTAAAAAGTTAAATATAGTTATACCTAAGAACACGTGTCAAGTATTAAAAAAAGTAGTTATGATACATCTTGGGTTAAAGTTGTAAGCAAAAATATTTCCTTAATTTTAACCGTAATGTTAACATTAATTCAGTTGCCAATTAGGTCTAATTAAACTAGAGCATACAGAGTTTTTTATTAGCTGTGTTCAGTAAGGTAACTTTGGAATTGCAGTTTTGATAGTTTGACATTGATGTGCTGTGAAAATAATTGCTGTCAGATTTGCTGTGAGCGAAAACAGTTTGGTGTTTGGTAAAATTTTTGTTAAAAGTGTTGTTGGTATTGATTTCCGCATAATTAGAAAATGATTGCCGCATAATCATTAAACCCAGGGCTTCTTTGAAATTGATTCTTGCATAATCAGAAAATGAAAGCACCTCATTAGCTGTTTTCCCTTATAGCTTTCTCTCACAGCAATTTTTAACAATAAGTGATTTTCTCATAGTTTACCAAACGGGTTGGGCTTTCCAAATTTTTTAAAAAATTACTTATCACCCCAAATAAGCAATGCCAAACAAACACTAAGTAATTTTAGGTGGTGAATTTGTTTTATGTCTTCAAACATTTTGAAATTTCGTTTATTGGGAGAAAGTTAATTATGATTTGGTTTGACTATTTTTGAGTGGCAATTGTGTTTGTGAAGAATTAGGCTGTTAGATCCAAAATATTATTATTTGTTGATTTTTGAACCCCACCACTACTATTCTAATAAATAGTATTTCCCAGGTACTTAGATTCCATAAAATGACTTCTCTCCCGTTAACCTCAATATTATGTTTTAAATCAGAGAGCTTAGACTAAGATCTTAGTTCAAGCTTAAATTAACAACTGGGAAATTCGACCAAAAAGAAAGAGAAACAACTGTAAAATGAATAAATCTATCACATTAATTACAAATAAAATTAAGAAAATTAAGAATGCAGGAAGCATTTAAGATCAATTTCTGCCCCCCTTTCCCCACATCTTTACTTCACTTTCTGGTTCTGGTTCTGGTTCTGGTTCATTGACATGGAAGAGCTCATATAAACATAACTCTGTCACTGAATAAGCATCCCATTAAATGTGCTTAGCTGAAAATAAATCCATCACATTAATTATTGCATTCTGGGGAACACCCAAATGCCACAAATTGCATCTAGGAAATAGACTTTTCTATCCCTTCATAATTGTTATGTTATGTAGAGCCTTACATAACAAGGAATTTAGGCCTTAATTTGTAGGATTCTTTACTTGGTCATGCACCTTGTCACTTGGCACCGACACATTATTACGGATGTCAAAAATAAAGGGGTGAGGTCAAATACTAGAGTGGAGTGGAGTAACATAATTTAGGCCTTAATTCTGAAAGTTCTGCTACAGTCCTTTCTCCACACACACATGCATATAAAAGTAATATATACTACATATTAGTGTATGCTTTAGTTATAATTAGTCACGTGATAAGTGTTGCAGACACGATAATCTGATCACTATATTACGTAAGTTTTATCTCTCACTCGCATAACACGATTTATAACTATTGATGCATTATGAAAGTTGCAACTTATCAATAAGGACCTACCCTAACAAAATCCTAATCCATTGGGGAAGGATCTTTGTTTTGTGACTGTGACCAGCACATTATTGAGGCAAATGGGGGTGATAAATTCAAATGCAATAAGTGAAGAAGTAAATGGGTTACTTCTTTGGTTTCTGCTGGTTCACTTCCCTCAAACTTCGTCACTGTGTCAGTTTGCGAGTCATCTCATCAGACTAGAGCACAGGAAAAGAATCCTGCACGTCATACTGACTTGCTTAACAGCAGACTGAGAGACAGCCTATAATAGCCTCAATATTTGTTTTACTTCATTATAAAAATTTAATTAATTAATTAATTAATTAAGCGACTTAAGGATGTGTCAGAAATTGGGTCCATCGTGAATTGGGATTTTTTTGGGGCCATCGAGTCAGAAGGTCGTACTTTCAAATAATTGCTCCCGGGCAAATCGCTGAGCCTTTAATTGCCTTGAAGTTACCATTATGACCTTCACCTTTAACTTATAAAATAAATAAACACACTATGTTAATGTTTGGATGCTTCCATTTAGTCCTTGATTTCTCCAATTAGCTTCTGAAAAATGGTAACAAGCTTTTACTATTTACCCTCATCCATTTTTTTTCCCTTCATTTATTAAAACTCTTTTTTCAAATTATTGCATTTTTTTCTTGTTAGTATAAAGAATAAGAGCATTCATAATATGAGGGTGTATAAGGGAGTGTATGTTAAATATACACATTTTGTCGTCGAAATCATCTCTAATGGGAAGATGTAAATGGTTGTAAAAATACACTACCATGGAGATGTAAAATGAGATGCACATTTGCATCTTTGTTTACATCCTTTGCAGGCGAGACCCACAAGAGAAAAAGGGAAAGAGAGAAGGATTGGAATTCAAAATGGAAGGCCTAGATTTCATGCAATTCGCATTGCACTTCCAATGGCCCAGATTTCTACATATATATTTTTATGTTAGTTTGTAGGTAAAATCATGTCCTCCAAATTTAAATTTTTGTAGGTCCATTTATTTGGAAAAATTAAATAAATCTAACAAGCACAAAATTAATTTTAAAAAGTTAAAACATACAAAAAAAAAAAACACACACACACAAAAAAGAATTATAACAAACAAATCGAATACCCATATTTGAATTTACATCGTTTCTCATTGGAACAAAAAACGTATTTACACCATTTGGAGGTGTAAAGAGGATATAAAAGTGATTTTACACTCCCGAAAATACATCCCCCACTGTAGATGCTCTAATACTAATTGCTAGAGAAAAATATACGTACACTTATTATATGAGTTGATCAAGTGATGAGTGTTACAGAGAAAAAGAAACATGTATATCCTCTTATAATTACGTTTTTTGGCATGATCGTATGTTGTTACGAGCAATCTAATCTAATCTATGAATAACTAACACATTTCTAAGATAGATGGAACCTACTTAAAAGTTATAAGGGCTCACATGAGAAGGCCTAAAAATGATTTCAAAGATAATTTTATTGATACTTTGATAGATGTGTGGTTGGTTTCACTAACTTTATGTGTTTGTTGTGTATATAAATCTTCAGAGTTGAAGCCAGGCATACTACCCAGGTCATGATTTATGGGAACTTGGGCTGCATGGTAAAAGATTAAAAACGAAAAAAGAAGGTACGTTAACAAGTAAAACTGTAAAAGAGCCAAAACCCAAAATTTATAAAATTAAAAAAAGAAGAAGAGAGTGAGTGTTCTGCAAAGATTTAGAATAGAGACGAATTAGCATTCAGCAGCGGCCTCCCTCCTGCTTTGCATCTCGTGAAGTCTTGTTTAATAATAACCACATAACGTAATCTCCTGCGGGGCGGTGTTCCCATGTGCTTATTAACTTTGTTTTTTACTTATTACTTTTTTATATTAATCTAACACTCTTTTTTTGGTTTTCACCGCTGCGGCTGGTTTTTGAGTAGCCCGGTAACAGAAACTTTAGGTCACCCGTACGATCACACACGCACAAAATCACAGGATTTTTATTTAAGTAAATTTAGGTTTTAGCCAAAAAAAAATTTTCACTTTTGGAAAAAGCCAAAGTTTTTTGAAAAAAGACAAAAAAACCTCTCAACTTTCAAATCAAAGACATGCAAATGTAAAGGATTACTTAGGAAATCCAAAATTAAATAAGGGTAATTTTGTCTATTTTTGCTTATTTTACAAAATTTCTCTCTCTTTTGTATTTTTCCAAAGTCTCCCTTTTATTTAATTTTTACTTTGGTCAGTGTGTTACCGACTTGCCATATACAACAGACGCACACAAGAACTTCTCCCTCCGGTAGGGTCTGGGGTAATTTAGAAGTTCAGAACCTATCCTCCATGGTGGGATCACTTCTGGTGGGCTAGAAATAAGTTTTCTGCTTTTAGGTTGATACGTGTTGGGGTTTTCGTTTCTGTAAATTGGCATTGGGTTTTACCTTTCATTCTTTTTCTATTTCATTAAACTCGTTGCTAAGTAAATTGGAGGAAGAAAAGTAATGAATATGCTACTAATGGCCAGTTTGGCATTACTGTGCTATGAAAATAGATTTGATATAAGAGAAATCAATTGTGAGATGAATCAGTTTGACGTTTGGTGAACTTTTTGTTAGAAGTGTAACAATTTTTAACAATAAGTTATTTTTTTTCTTCATAATTTACCAAATGAGCTGGGCTTTCCAATTTTTTTTAAAAAATCACTTGTCACCCCATTGCACATGATTATGCTCATTTGCAACCATGAAGAAACTGCCTGACTAATTGTTCTAACTCACATACATAGTAAAGTGATCAAACTTGTGAATTGTAATTGGAAAGTGCACCTCTGCAAATCATAAAAAGAACAGAAGTACAGTATTTAGAGCTGAAAAGGGTAGTCAATAATTGAACTACGTAAATGTTCATCCATCAGTGTGTAGTCAATATCTACACATTGAATAAAATTGAAAGATTTTTCGTAGGAGGAAGCTTTTAAGTTCGATTCCTGCCCCTTCCCCACATCTTTCAGTTGCAGGTTCCTTGTGTAATAATTGTCACTGTATAAACAGTATCCCATATTCCCATTAATGAGCTTGGATGAAAATATATCTATCTCCTTAATGTTAATAATAATAACGCTTATCAATCCATAGGTCACACTAACCCAAGAGAGAACCAAATATGTACTTGGGTAATTTTATATAAAATTTCCCACATAAATTTATGTACACCCATTTTGCTCTAACTCATGACACAGAAGAGTTGATATAAGAGTTGGTGTGTGTAGTATTACTCGATATTCAACCTCTGATCAATATTTTGGTATTACCCTTTCAATTAAATATATCTTTGCATTGAATACAATCAACTTAAAATAATAATAAAAAACTTTACAATAATGGGAAGGAATCATATTCCAAGTCGAAGGAATTTACTCATAAGCTCTTACCTGTCTTGTAAGGCAATGCATGCTGATGTTGAAATAGGTCAAAAGTAAATATCAGTGGTTAAAAGTCCACTCAAGTGAATGGCACCATCATGAAATTCAAGCGTCCATAGGATGATGCGTTACCAGGTTTTTCTGGAGCAGCCTTATTGAGCCAATGACTGCATCTTGAATCTTGATTGAACCAGTAAGTTACTATGTTAGTTTTTCTTAATCTAAAGTTTCTATCTGAATAGGGATGCAGAATCCAATCAATTGATCGACGAGGCTTTCCCGAAAACATCATGGTGATCAAGCAACGAGATATGTTCAGGAGCCAACATCAGTGCACTACTACTTAAGTAGTGTGGAGCAACCCTCCTCCTGCATCAGAAAATCATGCAATTATATTAACTTCAGCAAGGGAATTGACAATCTTTATTTGAAAGGCTGCAAGGAAGTCAATTTGACGTCGAAAGTTCATACCTCCTCCTTCTGGTGGTCTTCTCAAAGCCTTGTGCTAAACGAGAAGCTTCTGATCTTGAAATATGGCGCAGTGAAGAAAGATACTCATGCATTGCACCACCTTTCAATGTCGAGTACATTCTGGAAGGTACAATGGACTGAACAACATCAACTACACCTGACTTGATTTCACTGCATTGCAAACACCAGGAGTAAATGGGTATCAATGTATCTGGCATGCCAAATGCATCTTTAAATGTGTTATAAGACAAATGTTTACAATTAATGCTACATTTGATACTGAGGTTTTGGTTTGAACAATCTATGGATGGTATTGTAGAGACTAGGTGCATCTATATATAACATACTTGAGAAGTACTACGATATGTATAGAGAAAACGGTCACGAAACTTGACTTAATTTCTTTCATCTCTTCTTCTCTTCAATAGAAATGGAGATAAAAGAAGAAGCCCTTTTAACTAGGTAATATTGATAAGGAAATGAACAAACGGAAAGTTTGAAGCTGTGAATTTCAAAACAATTCAAGAGGATGACTAGTAAAAGCATTTCGAAACGGCATTGTGAATGTATACTGGTTTTCATACAGTTATCAACAGAAAGGAAGTTGAGCCAAATACCTCGTCACATTTGGCAGGGTCCTCTCTGAATTTCGTCCAGCATATGAAGTCTTACTTGTTCTCATCCCCTGCCCAATTAACTTACCTAATGCCATCATACTAGCTGTGTTAGCCAACATCTCCGAGGCTAAATCCATCCTCACACAACCTTCTTTTGATTCTACAGAAGAAATGCCTTTTGCATAGAAGCAAAACCCATGTTGCCCAATTGTGGATGCCAGCCGTAATTGCTCATCATACCAGCTGGATGCATCTGACTCCTCCAAAGGGATCATTGATGGTTCCAAAGAATCCTGCACAAACAATTAATTGCCATCATGACCTGAAGATGCATAATACAAATGATCAAATATCCAACCAAAAAGTATTGACACTTACACTTATTAGTGATTGGCATCTAGAAAACAATACATCACTTTCTGAGATCAAATTGCTCATTCTATAGGCAAGCATAACAATCTGACAAGCATCTTGTTGTTCTAATGCAATATACTGCCTTAGATCACTGCAAGAGCCACGAAGTTTGTCCCATGAATCTTGTACAAAATCAGTCACCACCAAGGATTTTTGCCCCTGTGCGAAGTTGGAGCACTTAATAAAATCCATACGGCTACACTCATCCATCACCTGATAATCTCCTGCAACAGTCTCCGTATGTTCATTCTGAGAATCTTCCAACTCCTGATGAGAAGATTCTGCAATTGCAGCACAATTATTTCCCCACGTATCAAAATTCCTCTGTAATCCTAACTCCAATTTATCAAGATTATTTCCTTCAACATGAAATTCCTCACATGAAAATATTTCTTTTATGGTGTTGGCAACACGGTCAGAAGTTACTGTGTGAGAAGATAACTCTGTTCCATTATCCATTTCAGTTTCAGGAACATAAGTTGATTCTGGCACAAAAGATATATCAATTGAGTTGCACATCTCACTTATGTGCATTTCGTCTGCAGTTTCTAAACATTGACAATGTCCTTCATCTATATTAGCCACTCCAGAACAACGTAGCTCCTCAGATGAGGGATTAACTCCAAGGACGTCGTTGTTAGTATCTTTATCTGTAACTTTAGGATATCCATTGTTGATAAACTCGTCTTCAGAATCAGAGGACATTACAACATCATGCATTTTCCGAACATATCGCCGACAGAAGGAAAATGGGGCACCTGAATTGTTGGGAAACTCAGAAGCATCATCAGTTTGAGCTTTATATTCACTG